AGCCCCCCCCCCCCCCTTTTACCACTTATTCAGCCATATAGAGCCAGCCCAGAGCCAACAGCCGCCACCACTCCGAAAGAAATAGAAGAGTGTTAACGCGGCAGGTGGGGCGAGATAGAAAGGATGCAGACTGATGAAGGAGTACGTGGGATTGAGAGAAGAAACAAATGAGAAAGAAAAACTTTAAAGAAAGAAAAAAAGTTGGGATTTGGTTAACAGAGGGGAAGGAGGGAAGGGGGTCAGAATAAAATTAAAGAGGTAGTCGTCCAAAAGCAAAGGACTTCATGAGTTTGTGCGTTGCTCCTCCGAACAGCTTCCTTGATTATTCCACATGAGACTAAGCGCACCACACACTCTCGATCTCTGACTATCTGCGTCTGTCTCTCTCTCGATCAGTCACCTCCCCCTGTGTCTCGCTAACCCCCCCCCCAACACATTCCTCCTGGTGGCCAACAGGGGGCTCTGCGACAGCTGGTGGTATTGTCATCAGGGTTAATGCTACGATCCTATTAGGCTGTGCTGCTCGACTCAGATTTAAGGGTGGATTAAAGAGCTCTCTGAACAATTGGACAGCGGATTGGGGCGATTGTGGCTAAGTGGATAGCAGGGCCGTCTTTCAATCAAAGGTTCGGCAGGTTCGAACCCCGGCTCCGGCTCTCGATGTGTCCTTGGGCAAGACACTTAACCCCAAAATTGCTCCCGTAGCTTTGCCTACGGTGTAGAAATGTGATAGACTCTGAATTGTAAGTCGCTTTGGATAAAAGCGTCTGCTAAATGACTGTAATGTAATGTATTGTTCCAGACCACAGAAAAAAGAAGAAAAAAATAGCTGAAGTGACATAAAGTAAATAACAGCTACAAATAAAAACATGAACTTACAACCCTGGTGAGTTGCTGACTTGTTTCACAGAGGTACAGTAAATGCTTGGCCATAATGGGATGACACAATTGAAGGTAAACACAGAAATAAGTACTTGAACACACAGCATGTGGCCCACTAATTCATGTTCTCAGGCACAACAGGCCAACACATACACACTGTACACATCTTTCACACTCACGCTGAAGGTCATGACTATTTCTTAGAGCACATGGGATCTGGAGATAATATTATTACTGATTATATTCAGTATATATATATATATATATTTCAGTATTGATTTGGGTAAAATGTTTAACGAGTTGTGTTTAGCATAACTTCTGCCATATCCCGCAGCTGCTTCACCCGCGGTGTGTGAAGGAGAGATAGCGCAGATCCTTCCTTTCTGCTGCTGTCAGACTGCACAACCAACACTGCTCCCAGTAGATCGCACATACCAAAAAAGTGACAAATTCCTCATTAATTTATGCAATTTAATTCCAATGTATCCACTGTGCATTATCAATTATCTGTGCAACCCACTGTGCAATAAAAACCATTCAGTCAGATTATATCATATATTTTATTTTACGTGTTTTACTTATTTATTATACCTTTACTATGTGATTACTTATTCATTATACTTGTTTTGTTCTTATTTTTTTATTTATTTATGTCGTTTGCACTATCCATTCTGCAGCTGTAATCCTGCAAATGTCCCCACTGTGGGACTAATAAAGGATTATTCTATTTGATCTTATTACAGCCTGTAATAGAAGCAGAACAGGGAGCAAGGATGGGTTGTGTTTGACAGCGACACACAAGGATGCAGGAGGGATTTGAAGCTAAAGTAACTGAGAAAGAGGAAAACAATGTGAGATGATCGAGAGACGGACCATCTGAGGAAAAATGCCAAGAGAGCAAATAATAGGGCCAAAGTCGATTCATGAAGTTATGAAGACGGGAGAGACAAAAATGATATTACAATAAAAGCAAAACAAGAGCCCTTGTGCATCCACCGTCAGACCTCCATCATGCTGATTACATCAAAGTCCTTCACAATGCAAACAGCGTAGTTCATTTCCATTAACAACAATGCCCCACGTGTGGCACATGGGCAAAACCAGAGGCTGCTACGTTAACATAACAAGCTTTCACTTGATGGGTGATATTACTCTAATTGTAATCCACAGATGCCACATCTGCTGCGAGGCTGCTGCGTAATCCCTGACTGGGCTCCAGGATGTGATGTTGTCTGCGGCTAAAGACGTGGACTCAGATGCCGGCTAATCGCTACTGCCATTTTTTGGAAAATTTAATTTAAAAAAAAAAGCCAGAGGCCACTTTAGGTGTCGATCAGAACCAGGTCATTCAACATCTCTGCATTCAACACTGCTGCTTGTGGTAAAATGATGTCGTTGATAAGCACAGGGACACGGGGATCTCACCAAACATCTAAATGCTACAAGAAGAGTTTGAAAAGCACCGATAATTGCTCCAAAATCAATAAATTGCAACACACAATATATTTATAAATTAGCAGTATTTTTGCTGTGCAGCGTGCAGCGAGCACAGGGGTGGTCGGCGTTATCCGTCATGTGGCAGAGTGCAATAATGTAGTTTGTTTACGGTTGTTGACGGGGAGGAGAGATGGATGGCAGGAGAAGGTAGAGAAGGGGGGAGGGGGATGAAGGCCGGTCGGCTGTCAGTGGCAGGGGGGGTCGTGTCACTGCTGTGATCACTCGCCTGTTGCGTCGACGCGACACATGAACGAACAAGTGAGGAGAGAACGGACATCAGAATGCGACGTGAACACTGAATTTGTGATTGTAATATGTGCGTGTACGTCTGTGTGTGACGGGTATGAGTGATGTTTATGAAACAAGTAGGTGTGTGTGTTCTAACCGCCACGTCCCTCCACAATCCCCCCACCACTGTCAAATAATCCCCTTTTTTCTGCCAAATTTTTCCCTGTTTCTGGATTGGATTGGCAGAGATAATCTGGGATTACAGCGAGCAGTCAGGCCTGGTGTGTTCCTCATTCATTTAGAGAGGGCAGACATGTTCAGCATCCACAGGTCATCTGCTGCAGGGCCACAACATATTCCATTACATATCATCTCGGGGCAAAATCTGAGCAGATTTGGGCACTTTGCATGCTAAACTCAGAGCAAGAATGAGTGTGGTTGCCGCCTGTTGGGCTGTAGTGGTGCAGTTGATTCCACTCACAGCAGCCTAAATGAGTGTAGTGCTGACATACTGGCAGATACAGTATATGTGACTGATCCTTCTCTCTTTCTAACTCTTCCTCAATGTTCTTTTTGTTCTCTTCTGTTTCTGTCTACTGTCACAATGTTCCTGAGCGTTAAATGATGGATTACGTTGTATCGGATGGCAGGAAAGATTATTCTCAACTGCTCCATTCCAAGTCTCTTTGCTCATAAATCCAGCAAAGGTCTCACTGATGGGACTCCTGTTATCTATCTTTTCTTTCTGACACCCCTTTTGTAAAGCTCATGAACAAACATACAGACAAGCAAGAATGCAAAAATCTAGTTGAATTGTGTGGCTCTGTTTCAGCGCCTTGTCCCTTTGAATTTCCAATAATCCAATTAAACAGTCAGCTTTTTGGAAATTCGACTCACTTCAATCGTCTGTTTCCTCAGATTATGGTTCTTTTTTCATTGTTACAATATCTTTACCTTTATTTCTTCCTTACTGAGTCTCCCTTTACACAAGGCTCACACAAAATGTCTCACATGTGATGGTATTTGTGGAGGAATGTCTTCCCGCTGATGTATGGAGCTAGAAGATGTTCCCCTCTGCCTCGTCACTATACTGATCCTGGAGCCGCAAGGTTTCATTAAAAATCTCCAAGTGAATTAATTTACCTTTCACGCTCTAGAGATTTTATAATTCATACCATATGTCCCTCACATGCACACACACACACACACACACACACACACACACACACACACACACAC